TGAGATAGGCACTGTGCCACGTACACTCTTAAAAATAAAGGTGCTTCACGATGCCAGAAGAACCTTTTTGTCTAAATGGTTCCATAAAGAACCTTTAACATCTGAAGAACCTTTCTGTTTGACAAAAGGTTAAGAGTGTACCTGCCAGCAGGGGATACATTTTTTTTCTGAGTGCTGTGGGCAACAAGTCCTTGATTTATCTGGATAGAGACAACCTGCCAGTTGTGCCAGAGACCACAGACATGCACACACACAACTGTAATGTTATATTAATATTCAAGCGCCATATTACTACTCCACAGCTCTCCTTATTTCATCTCTCTGCAGACACACTTCCATAACTTTAAATGAGGCACTTGTGTTTATGTTACATCAATCAATACTTTTTTTCCCCCAAAAGCAAAACTAAGGCAGGCACATTATTTAAACATGGACTTTGAACTCATTCCACATCGAAAACACAATTAAAGTGGAGTCGGAAAGGCACTGCTGGGCAGAATAATGAACTGTTGGGGCCAACGGAGCACAGAAAATGAACTTATAATTAAGATTTCAGCATTACATTAAATCTATACATCATCCAATTGGATTTTATTTCTCCCAGGAGCATGTGAAGCAATAGCTCTTTATTATTCCTAACTGCTGAAAACATGAAAACAGTCTTTTGTGGTGACGTGATGCATTTGAGGTCTATGTATGAAATGGTGTTGACGAGAGTGGTATACAGACACAAAAGGTGACAGCCAGTGAAGAAGGGCTGCCTGTAAAAACAAGCTAACATACCAACGGGGCAATTACCTCTCATGTCAATGATGTTTTTACAACATGCTAGAAACTCAGCCCAGCCCTGTGAATTCCTAATATATGACCGACAGGAGAGATTTCTTTGGATTTCTTTGTTTCTCTCGCACTGATCCCTGTGTACATCGCTGCTTTTACTCAAGCCTAAAGCTTGAATTTAATCAAAACACACTTCAGCTGCAGTATGAACCACTTTGGGGATTCGTAGGCATTAAAAAAACAGCAATTAGCTGCTAGTTGATGAAGACAAGCCTGTTTAATATTTCCCAGGCTGATTAGCCATTATCAGCTTTGTTCAACACATATTCCTCAATGCTTATAATTGCTTGATGATGCAATAACTGCACCATTATCACAGTAAGTTTTCCTAGCTGTGATCTATTTTTTCCACTTAGGTTTCAAACTCATCTCTAACGTTGCTAACATTGTTCCTAAAATTATTAATTTTCAAATAGGTCTCAAATGTTCTTTAGTTGGGCATTTCTCATAGCAAACTTAACAACATTATTTTTATATATTCTCTTATTTCTCCATTGCACTGTTTGCATTATGTGAGTTAATCAGTCAGGCGTAATGTACAGTCATTATTGCAAAATGAACCTCGACAGAGATATAAATTATTTTTATATATTCTCTTATTTCTCCATTGCACTGTTTGCATTATGTGAGTTAATCAGTCAGGCATAATGTACAGTCATTATTGCAAAATGAACCTCGACAGAGATATAATATATGTGTGTCTTTATCTTTCAGAAGGGGTTTATTTTGTGAAAATGACCAAATTGACTGTACATTATTTGACTTTTTGTATGGATATTTACCAAATAAATAAAGAAATGGATATGAAATATTCATTGTTTTATTTTGTGAGATGAGGAAGTACAGTATATGAAAATTATCTGTGAGAAATTGCAATTTATTACACACTTTAGTGGTCATTTAGTAAAAAAAAATATTGGACCACAAAATGCTGAAACTGACCAATCAGAATCTAAAAGAACATGATCAGGTTAAAAATAATAAATAATTAAAAAAGAATAGAATACATGTATTTTAGAAAAAACACAAAATAAATCAGGGATAAAGCATGCAGGTCTACTTAAAGGTTAATGAAATAAACAAAATGCAATAACACTACATTTATTTTTAGGTTTAATGGTTTTTAGATTTATTTTTTATTGGCTCTAGATTGGAAGCTTTTTTTCTCTGTTTTTAGTGTCTTGTGTTCACCAAAGCTTCATTTATTTGATCAAACATATATTTTAAAAAGCTGTAAAACTGTGAAAGATTATTACAATTTAAATATATTTTAACATGTAATTTATTCCTGTGATGGCAAAAACTGAATTTTCAGCATCTATTATTCCAGACTTCACTAGATGTGTTTTTACTGTCACTTTTAATCACTTTAATGTATCCTTGCTGAAAAAAGTATTCATTTCTTAAAAAAAATAAAATAATTCGTACTGAATTTTGAATGGCAGCATATAATGTTTCAAATACAAGTGTTCTTCAAATCTTTACAATTGTTATATACGTATAGTGGTCTGAAAAGCTTCCTGGCGTTATGAACAAGCTCCCAAAGCCAGTTAATCTGCAATCTCTTTTTTTCTTTCAGTCTGGTCATCCCTCTTTTTTCATTGGATCTCCGCCTCTTTATCCCTCCAGACACCCACAGTCATGAGGATTTATGGCTCTCTTGGCGCCCTACAGATAGAGCTGACCCAGTGTCCAGAGAGGTCCTGAGACATGAAAGCCTGACCTTACTGTGCCCAGCAGGCCTCTGCACACCTGTGGGCCGGCTAGGAGGACACTGGGAATCAATTTCTCCAACCTTTCCATCCCGTCTGTCTCTCTGTCCTTCTACTCATATAAAGCCTTCTTCCTCATTAACTCAGTAACATTCGCCGTTGTGGCGTCTCCCTAGGTCTACCTGAGGGACTTTCAATTAGACAGTGTGTCACACTGTTTTTCAAAACTCTGAGATGTTGTTTTGGGCTCTGGTTAAAGGCCCAAAATCATTCACACCAAGAATGATAACTATAACAATCACTATATGAGTGTCCGCACCAATGCACAATAATGTGCTGTAAGCATGTGCTGCAGTTATACTGTCTGGTGCTTTAAATATTCACTTTGAAGCAGGATGACATTAGCTGGAAAATGGAAAGTGATTCTGAAGTCATTCCAATGATATTGTTCCTCTGTGTTGATATCATTATAGTTGTGGACTCCAATATTCTCATAAAATTAGAATTATTATAAAAACTTCATATTTATTGTCATCAATATAGTTATCATCCTTGGTGTGAATGGGCTTTAACTCCATAAATTGTGCTCTTATCACATCATCCTTGGCTAATACTGTATGAGATGAAACGAAAGTTCAATCGATGTCATGTCAGTGTTAATATTATTTCTTGGGCTATCATTTAACATGTTAATTTAGTGTGATTAAATTCATTTTATTTTATATATATTTATGTATGTTATTTATTATTGATGTTTGATTTGTATAAATAATGTATATAAATATTGTGTATTGTGTGTGTGTGTATATATATGTATTATAAATATATATATTTGATAAATTATATGCAAATTCATATATAATTTTTTTCTCTACTTTTTGTTTCATAAAATTCACATCTTGAAATAAAAAAAAAAATCTGTAACTTCTCTTGCATGTACACTGAAAAAAGTGAAACTACTGTGTTGTTCATTTAAAGTGCATTTTTACATTGGACTAAGTGAAAATCATGGTTTCTGGTTTAAACCTGTTTTGTTCAGTTTGCCTTAAAGCAAATAACGAACCCCCTAGAACAAATTAAAAGCAACAATTTGACTCACTCTTTACAGTCACTTTTCCCTCCTTTTTTCTCTTTACGAATGCCCCATGCTTGACCTTTGACCTCAGGGTCAGAACAGGTTTTCAGCTTGTCAGGTCTATGAGCGGGGCTTGCTGAATTATAGTGTCATGAGTGACAGCTGGCAAGAACCAATAAACTCCATCCCTGCATTCCTGCAGAAGACCATTAAAAGCCTTTCATATTGCTTTCTCTGTTCAAACGGGGCAGTTACTGTGTTTTACTCTGCTGCTCCAGTGCAGGTCCTCAAGAAGGCATGTGACCAGCTCAGAGGTCTGGCAGTTTTATTTGTGAGATCTTAAAACACTGGTGCTATATGTTCTCTGTGGAATAAGTCCACCTTTTTGACCCCAACTTCTGCTGCAGCTTTTCAAAAGTCACATTTCGGAGGTCTCACATACTTCAACAATAATTTCAAGAGACTTTCCAAAGTGTCTAATTTTGTCCCCAGAGATTACAGATGCAAACAAAATTGCTTTTGATTTGACTTCAAGAAGGTTTGAGGATTGTCTACCTTGTTCAGTAATTTTTGGAATTGCAGTGATGGAAGTAATTATTTGCTGTATGATTGTCATGTCATGCTGCCACTCAGGTGACCTTAGTTGCCCAAAAAAATGCAAGCAATTGTGCAAGATCTCAAAGCATATCAATGTTAAAGTCAAACTCTAAAGTACTAAAAGTCAATTACCATGCATATTCTTCATATAAAACATTTTCAACAAATTCAGAAAAAAAGCCCCTAAAGGAACATGATAAGAGAAAAATGTATTTCAATGCTTTTGCATTCTTTTACAAAACGTTTGGGTTCCCCCCACTAAACTTGTGTTTGCTCACAAAACGTTTGCAATAGAAATAATATAAGGTGGGAGAAACAAAAACAATATTTCAGTGATTTTGTAAGAGAACGCAAAGTTTATTGGGAAAACACAATAGTTTTGCAAATGTTTGCAAGAGTAAAAAGGTTGACGTGGGAATGCATTACTTTCACGACAGAACCCAAACGTTTGGAAATCAAGTGCAAAAGTGCTGAAATATCTCCATCACAATGTCCTCTTAGTGGCTGCATAATTTTCCTTAAAAAATGTATATGAAATTAATGTACATTTTATATATAAAATATATAGTATAATTATAGAGAGACATATGTAATGTCTTCTCAGTTGCTGCTCTCTCTCTTTCTTACTTTTCCTCTCCGTTTCACTCTCTCTCTCTCTCTCTTTCTCTCTCTCTCTCAATCCATCTTCTTGCTGTAACTGTGAGCAACCTGTTGTAGCTCTTCCACACCCCCTAAACTTTCTCCTTCAGAGGTATTTGCTTCATTCATTCACTCTCTCTTTTTCTCACACACCCTCTTACACGTCTCTTTCTAGGCCGTCTTGGATTCTCACACTCCTCGTCCTGGGACGTTGCACTACAGCGTGTGGAGTCCCATAACCTGTTCTTGGATTGGATTATTACCTAATGGATCGCCAGCAGACTGGGTCTGTTTCAAGCAGGCAGCAGTTTTGCATTTGAGAGGAGGACCATGGTGCAGTTGGAAAGGTGAGTGAAGGTTTCTAGACAAACTTTTCAGCCCAATGCTTCACAATGCAGAAAGCAGTATATCTATCTAGCTCTCTGCCAAGTTTCTCTTGTTCGTTTTCTCTTTTTGGTGCACTCTGTATGTGGGCCATTTTCTCAGAGTGGTTCTCAACTAGTTTTACTTCATGATCCAGACATTCTTGGATGTCAGGTGGTGATTTAACACAGTACCAAACCTAGAATCAGTTTTAACTATTTTCTTTTACCTTGTGTTGTTTTGTTCATGAGTTTTCAGGATGAAGCAATGCCAAGCAACCTGTCCAAGTTGGCATCTGTCTAATTTGGCTTCAACCAAGCAACATATGAACTGACTCTAAAATATTCTAGAGTTTGTAGAGAATGCATGACTTTTGATGTCAACAACAATGTGGGAAATGTTTTCTATGTCTATTTATGTTGCTATCCTAATTATATTTGCATTGTAGCATTAGCATTTAACATTGTTTTTTACTACTAACAGCAAACCAATCAAAACAGACCATTTTGGGGTCATGACCCTTCAGTTGAGAACCACTACTGTAAGTGCTCTTTTAATGTTCATTTTCTCAAACATCTACTGATCAAAGCTAGCATGATTTGACCCAAATTCATTTATTTGTTTAATGCATTGTTTGATTAGGTAATTGTAGAACAAAATCAGAGACTCCATCCACCGTATGCCGTTCCACTCCATTTACCGCTGCATCTGACGACTTCAATAGCCCCGCTAATGCAACTAAAAAGCCTTGAACCAATTGGTAGAATGTGTTGGTGATGTCTCCAGTCTGATAGCTTTTTCCTCCATGCACAGGCTTTTACACGCCCCTCGAAGTCGAGCGGCACTCCAGATTTAGTCGTAATGTCATAGATGAACCGCATAAAGTCACTTCATTACTGCATGCTGGCGGCCTGCCTCTTCCTGCAGCTGATAAGCCTCCACAAACAGCGTCCTTTCCAGCTTTTATAGTGAGCGAGCAAATATTGGGAGCATGCATTTGGATATTTGTACTACAATAGATGTTTTGTGAGGACGTTTCTCCCACTATCTTAAAATCTTTCTTCGCTGAAGCAACATTTAAAGATTTCTGGCTTATCTCATGAATGGCCGCTTTTGAACTTTGTGTTCATGTTTGATTTAGTGCATTCACTATTAGCGCATTCATGGACTACAACAATTGCCATCTCTGTGTGTGCACTAGTGTGTTTTTGGACGCTTTTAAGAAATGTTTTTCACCCTAGTGTGTGTGTAACACTTAATTTAGAGCTGCAGACATAATCTTCTGCGAAGTGGCCGTGTTCAGAAATGACTAACAAACAGCAGGGTTTGTAGAGAGAGCAAAAAGGGGCCTGGGTCGGCTCCTGTACCTTTATAATCCTTCAAAGTGCACAACGCTCACCTCTCCGATCGGCCTGCGCTCGTGAGATTACATTCTTTGCTGCATGACTTTGCTGCAAGTTGCTGTGCAGCAGGCGTCAGGAAAATATCCCTTGAGTCACAGCGGTAGCACCTTCCTGTCTGTACGTTGATGCGAATTATTGCTTGTTCAATCAGATTCATTCATAAATCGCACAATCAGACGGCGGCCTCCAAAGTGCAGCAATTCAAAAAGTCTTATCTGCCCCGTCCAGAGTACCGGAGTCTATGAAAAGTCATGTAAACTGACTGCGGTACAGAAGTGCTTGAGGTTACATGTTCAAACAGGACTGAGTTTGAATGGTATGTGTCGAGCTCATGGCTCTGAAGTTTCTTGATGAAAAATCTGGCTGTGTTCCATTGCATCTGATAGGAAAACATGCCTTCTCCGCTAATTTTGTATGCTGAGGGTATCTGACCTGCATGGAAGTGTCCGTGATCATAATAAAAATTTTATCACTATGTAAAAATGCTTTATGGACTCCCATGTGCACCCAAGAGAAGTTAGTTAAAGTCATCGAACCCTTGCAGCTGCATTAATTTTGTGGACTGTCAGACTCGTTCCTGCACATTAGAAGTGGCAGTTGTGCAGTAAAGCATTGCATTAGCATGGCTGTGGTTTCTGCACAGCTTGACAGTGCTGTCTGTTGGCTGAACAGAGACTCTGTAGTTGTAATATCCCCCACAGATGTAACCTGACAAAGCCGCAGCGACTCTGTGCAAGATCATTGATTCCGTATGGTGTGTAGTTAGTTAGCGCAGTATTTGGAATGACAGCGTTTATTTGGCTAGAAATCTGTTCACCTGTCTGACACCTCTGGATTTAGCTTGAAGAGCGTTCACAGTTTGGAATTAGTTGTGATTTCAAAGGATGAAGAGATTTTGCCATAATTAAAGCTTCTCAGAAATTTGGAGATTTTGTTCAGTTATGTATTCTGTTGGTCCAGGATTCACAGCTCCTCAACTACAGAATACAGTAGCCTGTTTATTGTCACATTGTGAGATATTACTTGTCACAATCACTAGAAATAAAGTAATTGTGACATGTAAAGTGACATTATGAGATATTAAATCACAATTATTGCATATAAAGTGACAAAGTGTGTGATATTAAGTCACAAATATGACAAGTCACAGTTATTCAATATAACACAATCACAAGAACTTAAGTCATAATTGTGACATAATGGCCTGGTTTCACAGACAGGGCTTAGACTAAGCCAGGATTAGGCCATAGTTACATTTGGATATTAAAGTAATTTTTATAAACGTGCCTTAGAAAATAAAATTACTGGTGTGTGTCTTGAGACAAAACAAAGGCACTGATATGTTTTAAGATCAGTCAGTGCAAGTTTATCTCAGTTAAAACAGCTCAGATTTACATTTTAGTCTGGGACTAGGCTTAAGCCTTGTCTGTGAAACCGGGGGATAAAGTCATATTGTGAGATATTACATGAAAATTATCACATAAAAAGACAATGTGAGATATTAATTCACAATTATGATCTATAGTCACATTCTAAGATATTAAGTCAGAATTATGGCATGTTAAGTCACATTGTATGATATTAATCACGAGAAATAAAGTCATAATTGTGATAGTCACATTCTCAAGAAATAAAGTTGCTATTGTGACATATAAAGCCACATTCACAAGAAATAGTCACAATTATGACAATCACAAAGTGAGATATAAAGTCATGATTATGACAGTCACACTATGAATTATGACAAAATCACATTGTGAGATATTAATCACACGAAATGTTGCAATTGTGATATAGTAAATCAAAATAAATGCATTTGCTAATGTGACAAAGTCACAATCACAAGAATCACATTGTGAGATTTGAAATCACAGTTATGACAGTCACATTATGAGATATTAAATCACAATTATGAGACATTAAGCTGACTTAAAAAGTCATATTGTGAGATATTAAGACACAGTTGTTACAAAGTCACAGTGTGATATATGAAGTTACATTGTAAGATATAAAGTCATAATCATGAGAAATTAAGTAACAATTATAACACAGTCACATTGTAAGCTTTTGTAGGATTGCATGATATAAAGCCACAATTTCAAGAAATATAGTCACAGTTCCTGAGATATAGTAATCTGTGAACAATCATTTTGGAGTTCTGAGATATAAAGTCACAATTACAAGGTCCTTTTGTGTGACTACTTCCAAATTATGACAGAATTTGCAATTTCTTGATACACTGGTAAATACCTCATTTTCCTTTCAGATAAGAGAATTTTAGACAAAAGGATTTTTGGACAAGTTACATCAAAGAATTGGTGTCCTTGAGGGGAAACCATCATCCATCTTTTAAACAAATTCTGGAACCTTCTGTCCTGAAGGTAGTTCTGTTCTGGAATTCTTGACTCAGAATGACTGTACTGAATGACAGGATCAGTATTTTCACTGCAGTTCTCACCTTACGCTCTGGACCACACACAGACATGAATATCAATGAGCAGTCTAAGCCTGTTAAGTTGAACTATACACTTGGTGTCTTTCACAAAGGTCAGGTTTGTTGTGATACTCTGACCTCAATGTCAACTACGTTGTGTGATATAACCTGCTGAAAGTGGCGAGTCACTGCCATCGTATTGTTAGACATTTTGTGGTCACACCAATATGTGAAGATGCATCTATAAATATATCAAATTTATCCAGTTGTATTAATGCTGTTCCCTAGATGCTTAAGGTGGTTTCCAATCACAGTCCACAGTTTGCAGAAATAACACATAGGAGGCCTTATCATAACCTACATATGGAACCAGACATGTTTTTTTAATAATTAAAAACTCTGGTAAAAATCCAACTAAGCAAACTTAGCAGCAAAACATAGCTGGTGAAGCTGGTCAAGCAAGGAAGTATTGCTAGTTAAGCTAGTTTAAAGCCTGTTGAAGTAGAATCCCATGCTGAAAATCAGCATCCAAAATATTACAAATGATGACGGCCAGCTTGTGTTTTCAGCAGATGTTTCATGCAGTGTCTTATACATTTTTAAACATTTTGAACCTGAGGCAAAATAAAAGCATTACAAGTGTATTGCTGTATTCCTGCAAGCTTTGTAGTGATTTAAAAGTGATCACTGGTTTCCTCTTAAAGGGACAGTTGAATAAAAAAAAAATCAAAAATATGTCATTATTTACTTGTTCCAAACTTGTTTGACTTACTTCGTTCCATAGAACACAAAAGAGATGTTAAGCAGAATGTTAGGCTGCTCTTTTCCAAACATTGAAAGTGTTTTTTTTTATCGTTTTATTGATCTCTTATTCTCACCAAGACTGTATTTATGTGTTTTAAATACAATGAAAATAGTCATATTGTGAAATATTATTAGAATTTAAAAGTCTGTTTTATTATATTTTCAAATATTCCTGATGGCAAAGCTGTATTTTCAACAGCCATTACTCCAGTCTTCAGTCTCACATGTTCCTTCTAGAGCTCATTGTTTATTTGATATAGAAATGTTTTGTAACATTATAAATGCATTTACTGTCACTTTTGATCAATTAAATGTACCCTTGCTGAATAAAAGTATTAAAAATCTTACCGACCACAAACATTTGAATGGTAGCGTAAGTAAGCCTGTAATTCAGTTTATATGTGCATATTCAAATATGTTTCAATTTGTTTTTGGGACCTTGACAACCTGAGGTTTCTATCCACTTTCATGATATGGAAAAAAGCAGTCTCTTAAGCATCTCTTTATGTGTTCAACAAAAGAAAGAAAACCATCCAGTTCTGGAACAAGGTGTAAAAGATGATAATTTTAAGCTTAACTATTCATTATTATTGTACAGAAGATTCCTCTGTTGAATTTAAATATGTGACACACTGAGAGGAATAAACTTCATGGTAGAACTTCATTGTGCAGTACCGAACTTTCTTAACCTTAAACAATTATCTTTTATTTGAATAATACCTGTCTCTATCTAAGTGCTATTCATTTCTTAACCGGTGCTCAGCAGGCCACCGCAGCCATATCTGACAGGATAAATGTGCCGGATTATACAGGCGATTTTCAGCGAAGATTCAGACTCCGCTAACAGAATAGATCAAAACGATTATTCTGAATGTGTGTATATGCATATGTATGATGATACCGATCTCTCTTCCTCTGTTTTACAGATAAAAGGGAGAGAGCGTAGCAGCTAAATAAAGCAGAGAACAAGCCCGTCTCAGGACATCAGTCCAAAGAAGAGGATCTGCCGGCAGAGAGATAAGAGGGGGAGGACAGGGAACGAAAGAGAGAGTCAGAGGACGAGAGAGAGAGAGAATGGGATATTGCGGCATGTGGATCTTCCTCTTGTCCCTGTCTCTCTTCTATCAAAGCGCCACTGCAGAGGCTGAAGGTAGACTGCTGACTCACGCTTTATCTACATGTGATAGGGCCTCTTCCATCCCCAGTGAACTACCAATATACCGCCCTTCAATCAATCACACTCTGAAAAGGTTGCAGGCAGGGTCCAAAATGGACACTTGCCAAGCACTAAATGCGGGTAAAATTTGGCGAGCAACTAAAATTTAGTTAATCTCAGTAGACACAATGATATACAACCTTTTGTGTTAGGATGCGAGTTAAAAGTGAAAAAGAAGGAAAACTTCCAAGAAGAAAAAATTATATGTAAATGTTGTAAATTCCTTCTTTTTTCTTTAGTTCTTGATTTGACTAGCATTTAAGAAATTTTTACTCCAGAATTTCATATAAATTATTTTTTAAATGATATATAGATAAGTTGATATGCTAGATCCTAGTTAATAAGTTGGACCAGACAAATACGTATGCTGAAGTTAGACAACAGAAACACCAAATTATTTTATTTTATTTTATTTATTAGTTGAATAATTAATCACTAAATAGCTTTTTATCTATTCAATTTAATTATTTTATTTTATTTTATTAGTTGAATAATTCATCAGTTACTTCCATGTCAGTGCTTATCTAATTAAATTTTCATTTTATTTTATTTTACTTTTACTGATGTCACTCTGTACTATTTTTGTCCTGAAAAAAGCCCCCTTTATTTTATGTTTTACTTTGTTTTATTTGTAGTTATGTATTTGTAGTTGCATATTTTTTTGTATTTTTTTATATTTGTATTTTATTCTATTTTTTTATTAGTTGAATAATTTACAGAATAATCAATTACTTCAATGTCAGTGCTTTTTGTCTATTCAAATTTTATTTTATTTTATTTTTATTTATTACTTGAATAATTAATCAGTTACTTCAGTGTTAGAGCAATTTATCTTTTCAATTTTTTTTATTTTATTAGTTGAGTTATTAATCATTAATCAGATTTTTCTCTTTTGACATTTTTCATTTTTTTATTTTATTTTATTCTATTTTATGAATTGAATAATTAATCAGTTACTTCCATGTCAGTGCTTATCTTTTCAAATCATTTTATTTTATTTGACTTTTACTGCTGTCACTCTGTACTATTATTGTCCTGGAAAAAGTCCCCAAAAATATAAATGTCTTTGATGAATCCCCACACCCTTACAAATTTCTTATGTTGCATGAAGTTTCGAAGAGGGAAGTCCGTCTTCAATCATGTCCATGTGTGTCAGTTCTCGTCTGTCTGCACACCTGAAGAGACTGTACAGGTGGAGTTGAAGTGGACACAGAGTTCTTTCCACATGTGTCCTGCTGAGTCAGCAGGTTCTGTCTGCGGGCCATCTGCACACCTCCTGCAGCTTGATACCTTTGGTTTGAGCCTTTTCAGATAAATCACTGTACCCCTCTCTGATTTCCATCACCACAGATCCGTCTGCAAAGAAATCAGTGTGTGCGTGTTTATGTTTCACCTTGAACTGTGTGTGTGAGGGAGAGAGAGACAGACAGAGTGGGAAAAAGCGAGAATGTGAAACATATTGAATTCACGCAGGATGGTTTTAGAGCAGTCTGTCAGGACCAATTACTGACTGAGGCTCTAATGCCCTGAAACACTGTAATTTTCCACACCTCTTCAAAATTGCTGTTTGCAGTGACAGACACTTGACTATGAAATGGAAAGAATGTACTTTCCAAGGTCACATCCTTGTACTCTCAGCATCGCACCTGCTTTGTGTCGAAATCCTGTTAAATGTACTGTAAAAGCACGAGTCATCTAACCCCGGTAATCAACCCTTATAACTGTAAATACACAGGCAGTCACTTTTCATTGCTGTCAAGGCCTTGTTGTCATGGTAATGGCCTGCCAGATGCTTTAAAATTAAGTAAATGTTTGCTTAATAACCTTATTTCTTCACTGACTTTATGAGTCAGCACTGAACTGAGCTCTTTTAAGTTGTATCATGTTAAACCACATCATCTTCACAGGCTGATGATTTTAATCTAGGAGCAGATGATTTTAGTGTAATCCTCTACGCACATAACTGCACGGTCTGTGGCTGCGGATGAGATGTATCTAGAAAGTCAAACTGAAGATGATCTGTTTATTGTGCTGTATACGATGAAGAGTCTGTCCTGACGTGGCAGTGCTGCATTGTGGCTCTTTTGTGGGTTGAAGTTATCACTATCAGTTAACAAATAATGATAATAAATAATTCTCTTAGACTGAGATTGAATATAAACACTAAGAAAATACACTTCTCAAAAAAGTAAAGGAAACTTTCATCACAGTATAACACCTATACTGTGTTCGAAATCGCTTATTCAGCTACAGGCGCCATCTTCTGGTGCGACGTGGGAATCCCTCACAGTGCATTATGGGTATTATCTAGCAGTTGAGTGCACATCCGTTGCTCACTCGTTATTGCGGTGCATTATGGGATTGAACGTTTGCACTTGATAACATCCACTATGGTTTTGTACACCACTACAAATGGCAGTGCCCGATTTAAAGGGGTCATGAACTGAGAAATCAAAATTTCCTTGATCTTTTGATAAATAAGAGGTCATTGTGCTATAAAAACATCAAAACTTTCTCGTTAGTCTAAAAACAGCTTATATTGAAGCCGTCTGCCAAAACGATAGGTTGTGGAATGTGCCACTTTATGACGTAATAGTGTGACTAAACACTGCCTCCGCAGAAAATGATCAACACCTGCTTCTACATCACTGCCTGTTTAGCCCCACCCACCGATTTGTGCACATAGTAGGTAAATGACAAGCGTGGCAAACACAGGTGTACGCAGACACCAAACGATTAACTTTATTTGATTAACTTTTTTTTTAATGAAGTTCCAGACTGTGTCAGAACTTGGTCCTTTGTTCACTTCATTTTAGAAATATTAAAACTAAAAGACGATGCTGTGCCGACTATATTGGATATGATGTCACAAGTGCAAGTAACTGTTTTCATTACGTGATCACTATTGCTTTGTCTGTCATTACAGATCGTTTGATATGTACTGAGTATTTATGCGTTTTTATCCTAAATGACAGCAGCATCCATCTGTGAAGGATGTAGGCTGTCAAACACTCAATTATTAGCCAATCATAGCAGTGGGCGTTTACTTCCGAGTCTACAATCCGCTACGCCTATTCAAACGGAGCATTCTGATTGGGGGGTCAAAACAGGACAGAAAATAGCCTATTACTTCTAAATTATGAGGTTTTTTGATGTAAAAATCTTGATGACGTTGTAAGTGGACCTCAGAGAACAGTACAAAATAAAAAAGGCAGTTCATGACCCCTTTAAGGGTATAGGGGGAGATTTCGGACACAGCCCAAGTCATTTCCAATTAGGAAGCATAAGTGATTGTGAATCAGTTTCACCTACTTTGCAGTAGTACTTGCAGTAGTACTAGCACCTACTTTGGTGCTTTGGTTCACCAACAGGTGTGCTGGAGAGGCGACGGCAAGAAAACCCCCCAAAAAGGGAATGGTTTTGCAAGTGGTGGTCACAGACAATTGCTCTCTCCTTATCCTTCCTGACTGTTTTGTCCCTAGTTTTGTATATTGTGTTAGGGTCGTTCTCACTGCTTGTAGCTTAAGGCAGTACCTGCAACCCAATTAGGTTGCACAGGTAGTCCAGCTTCTCCAGGACGGCACTTTCATACATGCTGATGCAAGGAGATTTAGGTGTCTTCCAGCACAGTCTCAAGAGCATGGAGGAGATACTGGGAGATGGTTTGTTACACAAGAAGAGCTGGACAGGGCTGTAGAAGAGAAACGTCCCAGCAGCAGGACCGGTATCTGCTCATTTGTTTGAGGAGGAACAGGAGGAGCACCAGAGTGGAGTGCAAGAGTCCTCAAAAAATGACCTCCAGCAGGCTGCTGGTGTGCATGTTTCTGGCCAAACTGTCAGATATGGGCTCCATAAGGGTAGCATGATGGCCTGACGTCCTGTAGTGGGACTTGTGCTCACAACCCAGGACCATGCAGCTCAATTGGCATTTGCCAGTGAACATCAAAACTAGCTAGCCAACGGTAACCTTATTGCTGTTAGGTACCAGGATGAAATCCTCAGAGCTGCTGTCAGACCTTACGCTGGTGCAGTGGGCCCTGGGTTCCTACATGACAATGCCCAGCTTCATGTGGCCGGATTGATGCCATCGACTGGTCCTCACATTCCCCAGACCTGAATCCAAGTAGCACCACACACTGTCCAGGAGCCAGTGCTGGGAGATTACTTGTAAATTGTAGTCCGTTACTTACATGACAAAACATTGTAGTCAGTTTTAGGTAATATAATCAGACTACTTTTAGATTACTTTTGACTTAACACGTTCATCACATTGATTTAAATAGAATGCCTCTAGACCCTCAGCGCTGCCTGCAGAGAGTATCCTCACTGGACCGTTAAAGTTTGCTTTTGATGAACTTCCCTATTGCATGAAAGCAGTTTTTTCTTTTAGAATGCTGTATATGAGTGATAAATCATTAAAGCCTGCAGTGTTTGTTCCCTTCTGCTGTGGGTGGCACAGATTTTCCCAAATCTGTGCAGCAACCTTTCCGGAAATGAGACTGAACTTTTTAT